ACAATTTTCAGGTCACATATTTTATTGTGAGTCACAAATCAACTAAATCGCCACGACCACCGCCACGACTACCACAACCACCGCCACGATCAATTGTGACTCCCAAATTGTGAGTTAGAATTGGGAGTCACGATCAAAATTTTCAAGTCATGGATCCAATTGTTTGTCACAAAATCAATCAAATGGCTAAGACCACCACAACCATCGTAATTCACCACCACGACCACCATCACAAACCACTGCAAAACAATACAAAATCGTCGTCGATTTGCAACTACAGTAACCAGCATCACCACCAACCCCAAACACCACCACCATCAACATCAACGCCACCAACCTTAGTTGAACCAGTATATCTATTGCAACCAGAGCACCGATTCACCTCTTGCTTCACTAGTACAACCTTTGTCGAATATGAATCCTCTCTCTTCCAACCAACCTTCCTTCGATAACCAGAGCACTGATTCACTTTTCACTTCACCAGCATAACCTCCACCAAATCTGAACCCTCTTTCTTCAAACCGTTGCTGGCCTCCACAGGTTTCAATTTCCTCTCCGCGAAGACCTCGAGGATGAGCTGCATCTAAATGATCTTTTAGATCCCGCAACTGGCGTGACTACAGCGAAAGTGAGGGTTGGAGAGAGAGACGAGCAAGGGAAAGAGGAAAGATGGGCAGTGACGACTGGTAGTGGGCGTAGGGTTTTTATTTTTTTGATAATTAGTTTATTTAAATAATTAATAAAAAAATCTGATTTATGAAATATAAAACTTCCACCCTATTTGGGAATTTTGAATACTTAAACTATGGTTTTAATGTAATTACCACCTAAAAAATTAGCAAATTGGAGTTAGCCCAAAAAAGAAAGTCACATGTGTCAGCAATTAGGATTATCTAATGGGCCCAAATGATTTTGAGAGGTTATGAGCCCAAACAAAAATTAATCACTGTGAGAATTTTGCATAAACCTTTGGCCCAAGTTCAAATAGCCTAAACTAACTTGCAACATTTGCTATCTGTTGTATCGAAAAAAAAAAAATCACACCAATCTAGAAAAATGTATCAATTGTCAGACAAAATAGCTTGCAAAAGTTGAATAGACAATGCATGGTCCAAACACTCCACCATTATCCTATCTTCATCAAAATTAATGCGGATGAAAATAGGAAAAAGCACAGTAATATTCTGCAATGTACTATAAAGTTGCTGAATTGCTGGAGGTTTGCCTCTCAACAGCGATCATCGTATTCCATGATATGCAGTAATTGCTTCAATGAGGGTCACTGGACTGGAAACTCTTCTGGTGCATTTCATCGATTAGGTTGCCAGCACCTATACACTCTTTTTTGCTTTTAGCACAACATTCCAATTACCTTTAGCTCCTGTTTGTTAGCAATTTTCCAGCAAAAAAAATCATTTTTGACAGTTATTTAATTATTCCAATCGTCATTTTTAATTTTTTTACTTACAGGTGAGACTCGCTTTTTATCTCTAACGATCAAAAAATTATTTCTCATAATTACTAGCGAACATGTCCTTAGTCTTCATTTTTTGTTTGAAATTACTCACGCTAGTTAAGATCCCAACCACTCACAAACCATATTAAGATGGGTTTTCATTTTTGTTTCTGACACCGGTACCTATTGTTCTTTCTTTCAAGAGGTCGCATGTAGCTGTTTTAGTCATTACCCTGACATCATGGCGGCATTTGATGGTACAACTAGAAGTTACATCCTACTCAAAGCTTCTTCGTCGCATGCATTGGTACAATGAAAGCTTCACAAACGGGCGATAATCTGTAGTGTGATTTGTGCGGCAAGGTGGGTTTTAGAAAAATTTTGTTTTATAATTGCATGTGGTAGGAAAGAAATTTAGCCCTTGTTTGATCCCTATTTTGGAAGAAATAATACATTTTGAATAGTAGATTGTTGGATAATATGTGGTTAAAAATTAAGGAAATATTTTGAATTTGCGTGTAATATTATTTTATTAAAAAATTGTAGTTGAAAAAATAAATTTTTAGAAGAATGAGAATCAAACGAGAGCTTAATTGTGAATGTTTCAATATCCTTCTGGTCGTTGGTTCTTCGGTTTGGAAATTCCCATTCCAATAGCGTTTTTCTTCAATTTTCGTAGCTGGCCTTGTGATTTTTGGTAGAACAAACTGCTCCTAAAAAATCTATCATTTTTCGATGAATTTTTAGATGTGGTGATAACGTGGTTAATATATTGTTTCACACAGGCGGCGCCAATTCGTTGACTACAAAAAATGCGGCAATAGAATTTCGACCTCGTTAGAAGGCAAATATTATCTGTCGAAGATTCAAGGACCATTTGTACTTCGACAATCAAGTCAACGGGTGAATGAGAGAAAAAGAAAGTGCAAGAGAGGGGGGGTGAGGGATTTGGCTAGGAGTAGAATAAACATACCTCTGTCTGAAATGAAATCACATATACATAGAGGAAGAGGAAGTGGGCCGAATGTGTTTAGTGAAATGGGCACAAGTTCAAACCCAAAATGCAATTGTTTAATTTCATGAGTCCAATCTGTGAAATTGTCAATGTCATGTTGACCAATGTAGGATCCCTCCGTCATGTGTATGCTACGTAATTTATAGGTGCAACAATACTTACGTTAGAGATGGAGCTAACTTGCTTCGTCATTACCAAATTTCCAAAATTTTCTAAGGCCCTGTTTGATTAGATGAATTTTCCATGGAAAATGGAAAAAATTTTCTACTTTCGAACTTTTTTCATGTTTGATTGGCAAGATCTTCCTGGCAATTAGTTTTCCACCTTCACCCTCACGTGACCAGGTTTTCCACATTTTTTTTTTTTGCAATGGAAACAAATTATATCGATAATAGTAACAAATTTTCTCCCTTTAATCGATAATTTTCATGAAAAATAAAGTCAAACGAATACTGAGAGATTCAAAATTTCAAAAAAATTATATCAATCAAATACACTTAATTAACAATTTTCATTAAAATAAGTTAGAGACAATTCAATTCCTTGAAATTCGTTTTCTTTCCACTCAAATTTCATTTTTACAAACAAATGAACCCTAAGATCTTATGTTGACTCATATGTGCAACTGTAAGAATAAAAAAAAAAAAAACAGTTTTGAGATGAACCCAACGGTGACCTTGTGCTACTTGCATCAATAAATGAAGTGATAGTATATTGGGGGGATGAAAGTAACATGAGACTACTTTGAGTCTGTGTGTAAATTTTTCTGCCGTAGTTAAATTATGCAGAATGCATGACAAAGTGGTTATATTCTCTATATGTTATTAGGACAATGCTACATTTACCGAAATTTTTACCTACTACTCACAACATGGGTGGGGACCCCATGTTGGCATTTTTAAATTCATGGGGGCCCGCCATACATTGTGAGAGAATGTAAAACATTCGGTAAAGGATTGGGTGCAGGGCCGGCCCCGAGAATTTAGAGACCCTAGGTAGTTAATTATTATTAGACCCTTCAACATGAAGAAAGGATTCAATAATAAAAAATGACTTGCAAATATATAGTTCCAAAGGATAAGAAAAATATTTTGATGTGTTAATGAAAATAGCCATAGAAACATGGAGGCGTGAATCTTCAAGTGAATGCTCATCATAAATTTGTTTACATCTATTAGATTAGATTGGCCAGTGAAACATAACCATTGTCTGCATTTAAGTACACGTACATTCTTGTAGTCAAATTCAAAAAATAAATTAAAAAATGCTAGGCAGAATGAAAATGAAAGACTGGTGAACAAAATCTGCCTTAAGAACATATGTGGTAAAGTGGGCAAGGCATGGAAGAGGTGATACTTGTCATTTAGGCCACCAGGGACATGGAAATCAAGTTTGACTTGCTGCCATGGCTAATTATTTGAATTTTGATGTTTATGATTTGGAACACACGGATATTAGAAGTCATTTTAATATGAGGAGATTCATTATTTCAACGGCCGATATTTGTGGTCAAGGACATAGATACTTCTATTGATCTATCAAACAGTGCCACCACGGACACCACTAATGTATCCTTCCCACTATAATCAAGTAACCAAAGTAAGTTTTCCGATGAAATTTTTGCCAACTTTTTTTTTGAGCCATTACAAACTACTTTTTCCATTCATGAGAGTAAAACTATTAACTAATAATAGTCCAAATGGAAAAATCAAACAATCGGCAAAATTAATGAAATTCCAAATATAAAAGATAGAATATTTACTAGTCAAAAACAATATTTTAGTACACACTATTGCCTGCATAGATGTTTATTTCATAAGATAGAAGATAAAAAAAATTTGGAGATGGTACTCACTTGAATAAGCATCCATGTCAATGCAATGTCAGGTCAGTTCAAGTGTCCGACTCTGTGATTCATCAACATTCTGGGACTTCGGTGATCGGCAAGGCGACAACACTTTACTCAAAGGTCCGTTGCTTAATAAATCAATTGGAGAAAGTGAGAAACCATACATCTCGGATCTCACATCTGTAGCAAGGGCAACATAAGCATAAGAAACCGATTAAAAAAAAAAAACATAAGCATAAGAAAACGAAGAGGCCGACCCTGTGGTTGGGTAAACGGATTTCTAATCGGGAATTTTGTTGACCGTTCTATTTTAGGGATTGGTATTCTTCGAGTTTATCACGTTCTTGATTTGGAGAAGATGATTAGAATGGTGGAGAAAAAGACGGACGGTTTCTTATTATCTTCCCCATTATTTATTTATTTTTTTGGGATATGTGGGGTTTTTGGTATTGGGGCGGTTTTTGGACTTCTTTTAGAGGTCCCTCAAATTTTGAGGCCCAAGGTAAGCCAGGGCTGGCCTTGATTGAGTGTACAAATATCTTTTTTCCTGTTATAAATTTTCATGACTAAATGGTTTAAAAAGAAACTTTAATGATCAACTTGAATTTTAAGAAACTATAGTAACCATTAATAAATTAAATCAATCATAATACTATTCAGATTTTCTTTTTCTTTTTTGTCACCCTCCCGCATTGTTACCATTGTGTTCCGTATAAATTTAGGCTGAAATTATGCTAATAAAGCAAAATGAAAAATCCAGAAGCAGAGACAATAGGGAACACACAAGATTCCTCTTCTGATAGAGTAGTCGATCAATCATCATCGTCAGGATCAGAAATGGCGGCGGCATCCGCCATGGACGGCGTGGCCGCGGCTGCGCTGCGGTCCGTGCTCCAGCGCGTCCACCAGGCTGCCGAGCGCTGCGGTCGTAGGTCGAACCGGATCCGGGTGGTGGCCGTGAGCAAGACCAAGCCCGTTTCCCTCCTTCGCCAAGTCTATGATGCCGGCCACCGCTGCTTCGGCGAGAATTACGTCCAAGAAATCGTCGAGAAAGCCCCTCAGGTTCGTTACTTATTGTGTATATGTCTAGACATAATTTTGCGTTTTTTTTTTTGCCTGGTAAATGAAACGTAAGAAGAAGAAGAAGAATAGCTTTTAATCGTGTTAGTTTTATTTATTAATTGTCTAAAATCTGGAGATATTGCTTTAATCAATTGCAGCTGCCAGATGATATAGAGTGGCATTTTATTGGGAATTTGCAGAGCAATAAAGTCAAGCCGCTTCTCAGTATGGTCAAAAATTTCTTACTCTCCACACACAGTGACGCGTATACTGACTGTGTTTCATTCTATAGGACGAATGGTTGAATGTTTATGAATGCAATTGTTGTAATTTTCGCTGGATTATTAGCATGTGATATGTGGTGCTAACAAAAATTGAAGGAAAACGAGAGAAAGTTGAAAATATTTTAAGACACGCATCTTGGTTATGATAGGTTGTTCTCTTTTTTTGGAGCATTTGTTTATATCTAGAATCTAAAAGTTCCTTCATTATATTGAATATGAATGATATATTGAATGTCTGGAGCTTTATATATGTATAAACGCCATAGTATTTGCATTTTTTTGGTAAATTTACTTTCATTTGGATTGGTCTTTGTGTTGAAAATTTGTTCTGATTCAAGTAAGGTCTACTATGAGTCCGAGTGCGTTCGGATAGAAATTACTTCTATTCAGCTTTATGTAGAGCTTTCTTTTTTAATGTTTAGAAGCTCTAAATGAAAGCTGTTTGCTATTCAAACCTTTTTTGAATTAGTATGGTATATGTATCCATTCCTTACTAATGTTTTCATGTTTTGCAGATGGTGTACCAAATCTTGCCATGGTGGAGTCTGTAGATGATGAAAAGGTTAACAAACATTACCCAATTTTGCGAGGCCAGAAAGAATATCTTCTTTAACTGGTTTAAAGTTTCATACTTTAACTTCTCCGATGAACAATGCACAGTACAGAGTTATTCTATGTGCACTGTTTTCCTGCAAAAAGCTTAGAGTTTTTGGACTACAAAAAATTGTAAATGGGAGAATAAGAATTCGAGTAAAAAAAAAAAATAATAATAATAATAAATCAGATTTTAACGTATTCCATCAATCTAAGTGGAATAAGAAAACTTTTGGTTAGTCAAATCCAAAGAAAACCACATAATTGAAAGAAATGAAATGTCCGAATTTGAGATTTATATGAATTAAGATTTTTTTGTTATTGATCGTGGAATTCGACAGCCGATAAATAGATTCAAATAAAGCAGGAAATGGCGGGAATACAAAAATATTAGAAGAAAGTTCTACAAGGTTATATACAAGTTACTATGCCCCAATATTTCGTCAATTGAGATTCGCATGATTGAGTTGAATCTCCTTAAAAACTTCTTCCTTCTGTAATATATCCTGAACTCTTCGTGTAGGTTGAACACCTTTTTCGAAGAAATATAGAATAGCAGGAACATTCAAATAAGTTTGATGATGCAGCTTACTGATTTAGAATTTGAAATTATTTTCCATAAGAATATTATTGTTGTGTTGGTCAGCCGATAAGTTTAATATATTTATAGGTAGCAGTAGAAGTAGACCATTTTGAAGTTCGTCCCACCAATTCTCACATCCTATGGCCTAAACCCCAAAAATATATTTACAAAAGAAAATTTAGAAATTGATCTACTTCCTTCAGTATCAAAGTTGGATGTCAGAAATGATAAAGATCAAGCATGCAATTTAATCCCTAGAAATTGAACCTGTAGCCATGCAATTGGATTAAGTGGAGTATTCAAGGCACTTCCCCCTAGAAGCAGATTGCAAGGTCCCACGATTGTGGGTGAACTGATAAAAGAGATATGCGACAGGATTTTAGTTATGCTTCATGTATTACCACCTTTTCGTCCTACCGAGAGCCTATAGATGACAAATTCCTATAGATGACAAAATTATGTTTTTCTTTTATTGCTATTTTAAACTTTTTAAGCTTGACTCCTCAAAAAGAGTTAATTGTGAGCCTGAACTTCTGGCGCGATTTTTGTTCCCGATAAACCTGTCAAATTTGAGCCCATTACGACACAGTCGAGAAAAATGACGAAATTGCCCCCGGCTCAAATCCAAAGAAAACCACATAATTGAAAGAAATGAAATGTCCGAATTTGAGATTTATATGAATTAAGATTTTTTTGTTATTGATCGTGGAATTCGACAGCCGATAAATAGATTCAAATAAAGCAGGAAATGGCGGGAATACAAAAATATTAGAAGAAAGTTCTACAAGGTTATATACAAGTTACTATGCCCCAATATTTCGTCAATTGAGATTCGCATGATTGAGTTGAATCTCCTTAAAAACTTCTTCCTTCTGTAATATATCCTGAACTCTTCGTGTAGGTTGAACACCTTTTTCGAAGAAATATAGAATAGCAGGAACATTCAAATAAGTTTGATGATGCAGCTTACTGATTTAGAATTTGAAATTATTTTCCATAAGAATATTATTGTTGTGTTGGTCAGCCGATAAGTTTAATATATTTATAGGTAGCAGTAGAAGTAGACCATTTGGAAGTTCGTCCCACCAATTCTCACATCCTATGGCCTAAACCCCAAAAATATATTTACAAAAGAAAATTTAGAAATTGATCTACTTCCTTCAGTATCAAAGTTGGATGTCAGAAATGATAAAGATCAAGCATGCAATTTAATCCCTAGAAATTGAACCTGTAGCCATGCAATTGGATTAAGTGGAGTATTCAAGGCACTTCCCCCTAGAAGCAGATTGCAAGGTCCCACGATTGTGGGTGAACTGATAAAAGAGATATGCGACAGGATTTTAGTTATGCTTCATGTATTACCACCTTTTCGTCCTACCGAGAGCCTATAGATGACAAATTCCTATAGATGACAAAATTATGTTTTTCTTTTATTGCTATTTTAAACTTTTTAAGCTTGACTCCTCAAAAAGAGTTAATTGTGAGCCTGAACTGAAGTTTAAAATTCTACTTTGATCTCATATTGATGGATCCATTGCTATTATCTGAGACAGTTAAACTTCCTACGTCTATTAGTCATTTACTTATTTCACTCTGTTGTATTGTCATACATGGTGGTAAATTTTCTTTCGTTTGATCTTGTTTTGTTTTATGTAGATCGCTAACCATCTTGACCGTGTAGTTGGAAACATTGGAAGAAAACCTCTGAGAGTAATGGTCCAAGTGAACACTAGTGGAGAAGAATGTGGGTAACCGCAGTATGATTTTTGTAGGATTTTTGGTTAGCTTTTCTAGATATTCTCATTTTACCGCTTGCTTGCTTTTGCAGTGAGATTGAAAGATGGAGATGTTTACACATTTGTTTTTCACTTATTGCAGCTAAACATGGTGTTGATCCTGCCAGTTGTGTCGAACTTGTCAAACATGTTGCTTTGGGCTGCCCAAACCTTGAATTTTCTGGCCTGATGACAATAGGAATGCTGGATTATACGTCTACTCCTGAGAATTTCAAGGTAGTGGATCTTACTGTAATGCGTCATACTTTCTTCTTATGTTGAGATTATTTTGACATTATCAGTTTGTTGATTTCAGACATTAGCACAATGTCGAAGTGAGGTCTGCAAGGCACTTGGAATAGTGGAAGAGCAATGTGAGCTGTCAATGGGCATGTCTGGTGACTTTGAGCTTGCTGTGAGTTCTCTAATACTTTCAACTTTGTTCTAAGAAAATCATGTGTGATAGAAGTTCTTCTAGAAGGGTTTGAACAAAAATGGAAAAGAGAATTCTCTATTAATTTCATTGCATAATAAATTTTGGTAAGTACACTTTAATATGTCAGACCTAGTCTTGAAATTAGATCGACCATACATCCTGATGTTAGGTTAGGACTAGCCTCTGCAATGCAATTTTATTATGTTAAACAGTTGGAAAAAGAAACTATTCACAAGTGGCTCTTGTGCAACATTTTTAGACTCCATGATACTTCTATATGGCATAAATATGTCTGATTTCGCCTCATTAGTTATGGAATTTAATTACAATATGCTGATGCTCTGGTCTAGAAACAAAACAACCTGAAAATTGAGTTATTGTGACTGTTGCAGATTGAAATGGGCAGTACTAATGTTAGAATTGGATCTACCATATTTGGAGCAAGGGAATATCCGAAGAAACAGTCAAACTAGCTTCTTCTACGTGTCACCCAAATCAGCCATCACGGCAGAGCTGCTTTAGTTTCTTTGTCGTTGAATTAAAATATGAGAATTATTTTGGCAAATTCATGTGGTGATTCTTGTTTTCAAGTTTCCAATACTGCTGCTAGCGTGTAAAACATGAATTAAACTGTCTTGTTTCTGAAGATACCATGGGGCGGTATGTTAAAAAATTGGTTTGCGTACATTCCATGTACAGATCTTTTTGTTTGGGGAAAGGATAATGTTGTATTGTATCGAATTTTTTGACACTTCTCAAGTCTGGTTGGCATCTGATTACGAATTGAACTACTTGTACAAACGTACGCATAGCAAATTGCTGAGAAATAATATTTAAAAGGCTAGGTTATTGCATGAATATTCATTTAATCAGAGTGTGCACTAAATTAATTTTGTATGAATAAACAACTGAACCCATCTCAAAATTGAGTACTGCCTCAACTATGAATGCGTTGTCTCTTATCTCAATATACAACAAAACCTTCCTTCTCAGTAGGCACTGATAACAGTACAAGGTGCCAATTGACTAGAATACTGCATTTTCGATGTTCTACATTTAACCTCAACATTCTTGATGTTCTAGCTGAGGGGACTACCGCTGACCCACCTTGACGTTCTGCGCATCCAAGATGACATTCAGAATTTTACCAGGCACGTATATGCGCTTTTTAATGTTTTTACCAGCCAAAAACTTGGACAGTTTTGAATCGAGTGAAGCTAGTCGAAAAGCATCTTCCTCGGTGCATGCTTCTTCAACCTGTATGGTGCCTCTGGTCTTGCCATTTATCTGGACTGGTAAAACCACCGTGGACTCCTTTACGTAAGCAGGATTTGCCTGTAATAAGAGATGTCAGAGACCCATCTTAAGTCTAGTTCTTAAACAGAATAATGTGTTGTCACAGCTTTGAGAACAGGTGCATTTTTCATCTTTCCTTAGAGAGAGTCGTCCAGCCTTTTTTTGAGTGTAATTAAACCTAATTAACTAGAAGAAGATTATAAGCTCTCCCAATAAAAAGCACTATTTGATTCTTGTAACTTTAGAATCCAATTAGAATCTATTAGCGTACGATTATTGTATCAACTGCTTCTTTGTAATGCCTGCCCACTACTTTTTGGTAAATGCACCAACCAATTCATGCATTCTGCACTGAATGGAAACAACGGAGTTGTTCCATACAACAGATTCCCATAAAATATATTGCACTAGCCTGGCTAGAGGACACAAGCAAGGGGAGATAGGTGGAGAAATTCGTAATAACTATAGGTTCATACCTTTGGGAAAGACTCATAAGCCAGTGATGTTGGGTGTCCCAAACGGGACCAGAGCTCTTCGGCCATATGAGGTGCATAGGGTGAGAGCAATAAGACAAATGTTTCAATAACTGACTTCGGAAGCTTGTCCCACTGAAGACAGGAAAATACGGACTGTTAAAACCTAAAAGAACTAGCGGAGCTCAACAGTGACAGTTTTACTTCGATGAAAACACTAAAAGGTCTTTTAACCGATTTCTTCCTCCAATGAAGGTCGGGAAATATCATAGAAGTGTCTGCAGAACATAGCATATGCCTCACTATTCTTTCCTTCCCCTTTTATGTACCACTACACGGGGTCTATGGACCCTTTTCTTCCACTTATAAGTATGCCTGTCGAACGTTTACACACTATACATGCTATGGATTTGGAAATACATTATCATAAGGAAAACCACAGAAACTAATTTAAGTGAGTGCATATGCGCGGATTGTGTGTGTGTCACAGAGAGAGAGAGAGAGAGACCTTATATGCAGCATTAACGAACTCCATCATTGCAGAAATTCCAGTATTGAACCGTGTTCCTTCAATTTCCTCTGTCACCTATCATAGTAAACCAATTCAGGAAACAAAACGTGTACGCCAAACGGGAAGATACAATATTTCGTGAAAATGATAAGGGGATCTGAGGGGAAATCAAAATGCTTTCACTTCAAGGTCTCAAATGAATCGTCTGATTCTCCATGCCATGTCAAGGTACGAAGCTAAGACTATAGGCTGTAGATACCAGTAAAATAATATATATTGCACTTCCGCTATTGTTAATATCAATTTTTTGTTGGATGGCAACAATGGACGCCATAGGAAGTGAAGACAAATAGGTCATAAAAAGCTATTCAATGAAATATCAGGATTACCTTGTCAATGCATCTGTGAAGACACTGAAGTTGCTCCATTGAAGGTTCCCCATCAAGGTTGACCGTTCCATCTTTAAATTTTCCGTCAGGGGAAGGTGAACCGACAATCAATCTCCACACTCTTGCCAAAAAACGATGAACACCTTCAATACCACTAGTACTCCAGGTTTTGGAGTCTCTGGAATCACATATATAAAAAAAATGTTATCAAAGGAAATAAGAGCTGAATTGAGGTGCAGGTTTTCAACTTCTGTCAGCATACAAAAACTTGAAGCATTAATTCCTCCCCTCCCCCAACAACCCATATGCACACGAAAGAAAACAAAATATAAGACACTATGCATGAAAAAGGAACCTACCGAAATGGGCCCATAAACATTTCATATAAACGAAGAGAATCTGCACCATACTCCAAAACAACATCGTCAGGATTTATTACATTTCCCCGACTTTTACTCATCTTGTGAGCTCGGGTAATCAAGCGAATATTGGGATTGTCTTTTAGCACAAAAGAATCACCAGATTTCATGACCTAATTCAGAACATAATATGAATTTATTTTTAGAAAAAGGACATGTTTGAAAATGAACTTTAGAATTCTACAAGCAGCAGCAGAAGGAACAAAAAGAAAATAGTTGTCTCATCTCCACAATATCTGGCAAAAGACATCACAAAGATTTGAGGACAACTCATGAAATTTGCAAAGTAACATACATTCTCCTCGGCTATTCTTTCTTGACCATACTCAATTGTCACATCAACAGAATCAGCTGAGACCAAATATCCATCTGGATCTCGGTATGCCATATATTGAACCTGCCACTTGAGCCATTAAAATTATGCAGTTTGGTAGAACACCATATCGACATGATGGAGCAACTTTTATTTACCTCCCCAAGGATAATTCCCTGGTTTATGACACACTTAAAGGGTTCTTTTGTCGACACAACCCCAATATCATAAAGAACCTGAAGCAAAATATCAGCAAATTGATCGAGTTATACAGAATTGCACAAAAGAAAGCATACAAAATATTTGCCCCTAAAAGATTATTGAGAGTGCTGTAATGAACATTCAATAGTCAATGCCTGACATATAGGATACTTCATTTTAGGAAGAACTTAAGGTTTTAGTTATGTCTGCCTTAGTGAACTCCCCAGAAAATTCATAGACAAGTAGGCTTGGCCCAAATTTGGGTTAAGTAAAGAATCTACCTTTTGTGTTTTATAATGTCCACTGTACAGGCATGTTAGCCATTTGTATCATGAAATCTATACTTGATGGATCAAGAATGATCAAAGCATTGGCTTTACTAAGAGATGATACAAGAATTTTTATAGCAAACAACAAGTTTAAATGATGAATAATAACAGGTGAAACAATCCAACAAAAGGTGCATGAGCTATAGATGGCACAGGAAAAAAAAAACAAACTACAAGCTCCTGATAGCCCCATTTAGGACAAGCCTAATTCAGAGTACAAACCTTGTGCCAGAATCTAGCATACAGTAAATGAAGTACAGCATGTTCAGCACCACCAACATACACATCAACTGGGCTCCAATACCTGCAGGTGAAGAGATATCTGAGTGGCAGCACAGGTTATAAGCATGGCTCATCAATATTTAAAAATAATGAAGTTGGTAGTTAGAGGTTAAACTCACGTTTCTTTTTCCCTGCCCACCAATTCTTTGGAATTCTTAGGGTCCATAAACCTCAGATAGTACCTGAATATTAATTAAAAATATAAAGCTAAACCTCCTTGTGAATATGAAATATAAAGCATAAAAAAATAGTGCGGAATTTGTAATTACATAGAAGGGACTTTTCACTGGTTGCACTGACGAATAGAAGTTAGAAGCATCACTAGTTTGCCTTTTATAGTCAAACCAATCATGCCATCTCAATTAAAAAGAATTGCTCAGTTTTATGAAGAGCATACATTCTATAGTCCTTTCTCAACTGCAAGAGCCATCCCACATACATTTTGATCCTACGAAGCCCCTGTAAGCTTCGCCAGGACCCCCATTCCCCAATCCCTCTCTTGGCCTGCTACATATTAAGCATTTTTAGCTACAGGAACTGGTAATCAGGATATACATAATAAATGTCGCAGAATAAAATTTTAATAATTTGGTCAAGAAGCTTATAAAAATTACAGTACCAGCAAGAGCCAGCCCATTGTGGCATGGTGTTGGTCTCACGTCTGGCAGGTTTCCCAGATACTGGATCAACTGTTTTCACCTAAAAATCATTCACCCATTACGGGAATATACAAATTAGTTACTGTGGAAAATGGCTGTAGTTTGTTGTATTCTTTTATTGTATTCTTGACTTAATTAGCATAATTATAGAAGAGATGTTAGAGCGTAATAGATCTTAGGGCATAATTAGAGGAGAGTTGTTAGGGCGTGATTGAAGGGAACATTGGGGTGATTAGTTTTTCTTTCCTATATATTTGTGGAGTAGCATTACGAGTCATCAATGAAATATATGAAATTCCTCAATATTCTTCAGTTACCACAGAGCGGAATATAGAGCCAAGAAAATGTTGTAGCAAGCAAGACAATAGAGCAACTAATACAGAAAAATAGAGCAAGACAAAGTTTCCAATTAATATCGGATAGTTAACAGTAAAAATGTTGGAAAATACAGAAAAATAGGAAGTTTAACAACACTAGGTACTGAAATTGGGCATTCAGAGACAGTTTGGTGGAACATCTCACTTCAACTAATATATAAGCAATCATGTACAAAACACATACATTGATCAGTTGCAATCACAGGTGATTTATATAAAAGGGGAAAAAGTGGTTAGACATACCCAAGACAGTGCTTTCGAAAGTGGTGGTTCCCCTGTTACTGTGGGAGTAAATTCATCCAACTCGGGAAGGGTAAGAGGCAGTTCAACTTCAGGAATGGGAATACCTTCACCAGTATCATCTACAAAAATGACTGGAATAGGTTCTCCCCAGTAACGTTGTCGAGCAAATAGCCAGTCCCTCAACTTATAATTCACCTACGGAAAAATAAATTTGATACACCCAAAATTCATTGACAGGCTAAACCACATGGGAACCTTTAGAAAGTAAGACAAAGATGAACTTGAAA